CCCCTAAGCAAACCTAGTTGAATAGCCCCGCGCATATGGGTTCAGTGGCAATCCGGTTCTGTCTTTGTCACTGCCGCTTCTGGTCACCAGGTCTGTTTTCCCTGCCTTCCAACTATTTACTGATTTTACTGATTCAACAATCGACACCACAACACCTCGGGTATACATACAGATGTTCCGTCTCCCGTAGCAAATGTCTAAAGGTGTAGACACTAATTGTTTTCCTAGCACTGTGATTATACACAAGTCTTCCTTTTCCTCTCGAACGCCCTTCCTTGCCTGGATTCACACATAATTCCTTGTTCGCACATTCTCACACATGTTAGTTCATCTAACCCCATGTCTTCTTTTAGCATTTGTTGACAAATAGTCTTTAGAATATTCCCTTTTGTCCAGTACGAGTGTTCCCGTAGCTACCGCGTTTGTAGCCTGCAAATCCACTCTTTCATTCCCTCTGACGCATGCATTTCTAAGACAGTATATCAACGTGAAGCCCTACAATGTTGAAGTGCTGATGCTTGGTATCCACTCAAGCCACAAGATACAGCCTATGATTCTAGCCCCACAAATAACAATAGCGTTCACCCAACAAAGACAACAGGAAAGAAAGTATATCCGGCCCGTGTGGGTTCCGGGGCCCCATTGTAGGGCAAATGAAGAATAAACCCACCATCTCCCCGACAATGTCGTAGGAATCAATTAATTAGGGGACTACTTCGAATTCGGAGTGCACATGACCGAGGTGCCAGGAACAACCAACTACACATAAATAAGTCAGTAAAACGGATGTACACGCAAAACTCAGACCCTGGCACTAAGCTTATGTCCAGAAGGACGAACAACCAGGCCTCTAAGCCGGTAAACAAAGAAAATGAAGAAGAAGAAGAAGAAGAAGAAGAAGAAGAAGAAGAAGAAGAAGAAGAAGAAGAAGAAGAAGAAGAAGAAGAAGAAGAAGAAGAAGAAGAAGAAGAAGAAGAAGAAGAAGAAGAAGAAGAAGAAGAAGAAGAAGAAGAAGAAGAAGAAGAAGAAGAAGAAGAAGAAGAAGAAGAAGAAGAAGAAGAAGAAGAAGAAGAAGAAGAAGAAGAAGAAGAAGAAGAAGAAGAAGAAGAAGAAGAAGAAGAAGAAGAAGAAAAAGAAGAAGAAGAAGAAGAAGAAGAAGAAGAAGAAGAAGAAGAAGAAGAAGAAGAAGAAGAAGAAGAAGAAGAAGAAGAAGAAGAAGAAGAAGAAGAAACAAACAACAACACTCATCCCACATACCTGGCGCCATCCAGCGGGGTAATATACACCTCGTTGTTATCCATATCCACGATGGCATGCTCCGGATGGATACCCAGCCCACTGAGCTGGATATCTTGCTGGGTGGGCGCATCGGGACGGCCCACAAGAGTGTGATCCTGGGGGGAGAAAACAAGAGTCGCACAATTAGTTGCATTCCAGACATACGGCTACTGATGTTTAACAGATGTTTACGAGTGTTGATACTGGTGACAGAACAAACATCTCAAAGACATGAGATTGATTCTCTGGATTCAAACATCAAGGTCAGGGACACGGAGATGCGAGAGCCGCCAAACGGAGAGAGAGAAAGAGAGAGAGAGAGAGAGAGAGAGAGAGAGAGAGAGAGAGAGAGAGAGACAGACAGACAGACAGACAGACAGACAGACAGACAGACAGACAGACAGACAGACAGACAGACAGACAGACAGACAGACAGACAGACAGACAGACAGACAGACAGACAGACAGACAGACAGAGAGAGAGAGAGGGCGAGAGAGAGACGGAGAGAGAGGGCGAGAGAGAGAGAGAGGAAGAGAGAGAGAGGAAGAGAGAGAGAGGAAGAGAGAGAGAGGAAGAGAGAGAGGGCCAGAGAGAGGGAGAGAGAGAGAGAGGGCGAGAGTGACAGACCGTGAAAGAGACAGAGAGAGAGAGAGAAATACAGACAGAGAGAGAGACAGACAGAGAGACTCGGACTGACAGACAAACATAGAGATAAAGACAGAGAGACAGACAGAGAGACATACAGACAGATACAGACAGAGAGAGACAGACTGACAGAGAGAGACAGACAAAGAGAGAGAGACAAAGAGAGAGAGACAGAGAGAGACAGAGAGAGAGACAGAGAGAGACAGAGAGAGACAGAGAGAGACAGAGAGAGAGACAGACAGACGGAGATACCAACAGACACAGATATAGACAGACAAAGACAGGGAGAAAGATACAGAGACAGACAGACAGAGAGTGAGACATACAATGAGAGAGACAGACAGACGAAGAGAGATAGACAGACAGATACGCAGGGATACGTATATATATATATATATATATATATATATATATATATATATATATATATATATATATTATAGAGAGAGAGAGAGAGAGAGAGGAGAGAGAGAGAGAGAGAGAGAGAGAGAGAGAAAAAGAGACAGACAGACAGACAGACAGGATCGTATAATATATATATATCTAGATATTATATAGAGACAAGAGAGAGAGCAAGAAAGAAAGAGAGAAGAGACAGAGAGAGAGAGAGAGAGAGAGAGAGAGAGAGAGAGAGAGAGAGACCCACATATCAACTCCCTGTCGGTTCAGGGGCTCCACGTACATTTGGGAGAGAAAGAAGGAGACACCAAGTGACACATAACATAGATGTTATAAAAACGCCATGAGTGTTGGAGACAGATTTCAGACAGATTGGAATCAGCACCCCTGTTCCCCGTGTGGGTTCCGGGGTCCCACTGTGGGAAAAACCACAACAGAACCACCGCGTTTCCAACAAGTCTGTCGTAAGAGTCGACTAATTCTGGACTTCCTGTAAAGTTGGAGTGCATCTGCCCTATAGGCAAGCAACCAACAGTCTGCACACAAATAAGCCAGATCTGTAAAAAGGATGCACACGCATCACTGAAGTCCTGGAACAAAGTCAAATTCCAGAGATGGATGAACAACCGGGACTTTCCGGAGGGTCTACAGACGGTAAACGCAAATAGCAGCAAAAACAGTATATTCTGTGGCTTTCACGTTGATAAATCCGTTTCACAATTTCATAATCCCCGAGTGCTGGGGTTCAATTTCCACCGTGGACGGGTTGGGGGAAAACCCGTTATCGTGATTTTCATTCAGCAGTATGAGAGTCACACTGAAGAGAATGGGACCTTACCACGTAGCATTTCCAAAGGTAGCAGGAGTACAATGTAGCCAAGCTTCATTTTGGAGACAGCACATACTTATGTGGATTTGTGTGCGTGTATGTGTGTATGCGCGCGCGTGCATGTGGAAAAGTATGTGGGTAAGAGACGGAAAATCTGAAAGGTTTTTAAACGACATGGGGTACTGGGGCAGGAGGCTGGAGAGAGAGACAGAGAGATGATGATGCTAATTTTGATGACGACGACGAAGACGGCAATGACGACGACGAAGAGGATGATGATGATGTTACACAATGAAACATTGTAGGTTTATGGTTTGCACATGGGACGGCAAGAAGAACAGACAAGCTGCCCTACGACAAACATGTCATAAAGGCGACGAAATTATGATGTATTAAATCCGAAAACGCTGGGCTTAAATAGGCAAATGTCGCAGACTAGCTGTAAACCCCAAAACAAGTTACCAACCACAGCATATGAGAGATAGATATATAAGAGTACATCATATAAGAGAGAGGGTGGGTGAGTGTCACAGACAGGGTTGTATGTAATAATATTTAAGACAAGTACTACATAAATGTGTCCATACAACCATATAGAGAAGAGTGTTATGGAGGTACATGTCATACAAACATTTACAAGCAGATTATTATAGGGAATTTGTTCATACAACTGTTCATAACAAGATTATTACAGATATATGTTCATACGACCATATATGAGTGGCGTGTCACATGAACTTTGTTCATACGACCATATATGAGAGGCGTGTCACATTAACTATGTTCATACGACCATATATGAGAGGCGTGTCACATCAACTTTGTTCATACGACCATATATGAGAGGCGTGTCACATTAACTATGTTCATACGACCATATATGAGAGGCGTGTCACATTAACTTTGTTCATACGACCATATATGAGAGGCGTGTCACATTAACTATGTTCATACGACCATATATGAGAGGCGTGTCACATTAACTTTGTTCATACGACCATATATGAGAGGCGTGTCACATTAACTATGTTCATACGACCATATATGAGAGGCGTGTCACATTAACTATGTTCATACGACCATATATGAGAGGCGTGTCACATTAACTATGTTCATACGACCATATATGAGAGGCGTGTCACATTAACTATGTTCATACGACCATATATGAGAGGCGTGTCACATTAACAATGTTCATACGACCATATATGAGTGGCGTGTCACATTAACTTTGTTCATACGACCATATATGAGAGGCGTGTCACATTAACTTTGTTCATTCGACCATATATGAGAGGCGTGTCACATTAATTTTGTTCATACAACCATATATGAGTTTGTTTGTTTTAGTATCCAGAAGCCATGAGTTGTTAACCCTAAGGCTCGGTATTATGGATATCGCAACCTTTCGGCCTTGATTCCGTTTTAAATACCGTAAATCTGGGAGAAATGTGGCTTTTCTGCCCACCCCCGGAAGTGAACCCGGACCACAAGGAGTTCGTCACCCGCTCACCGCGCAATCCGGTTTAGTCAACTACGCTAGAAAGACGGGCACCAAATATGAGAGGCGTGTCACATTAACTTTGTTTATACGACAGCACATACGAGGACTAAGGGGGTTACCATACAATCAAAAACAGTACATAAAGTCGAGAACGAAAGAATGTAAAAACAGACAAAAAAGAAGGGGAGGATTACTGTGAAGCTACCGCGGCGGTTTCCTACATACTCATTTATCTTCTTCGCATTTACTGCAGTAAACACCAGCGGAAAGTCCCGGTTGTTCATTGATTTCTCAACTGTGCTCGTGTTTCTTCTTCTTCTAATTTGTGCATCGGCTTTAGGTTCCTGCAAAAAGTCCTGGTTGTTCGTTCATTTGAAATTTTGCTTTGTGCCAGGACCGAGGTTTTGCGTGTACACCGTTTCACCGGCTTGTGTGCAGCAGCTTGTTCCTTGTCGCCCCGGCAGATGCACTCCGACTTCAAAAAAATTCCCAAGAAGAAGGAGGAGGAGGGGGAGGAGGAGGAGGAGAAAAAGAAGAAGCAGGAGAAAAAGAAGCAGCCGCAGCAAAAGAAGAAGAAGCAGCAGCAGCGGCAAAAGAAGAAGAAAAAGAAGAGGAAGAAGAAGAGGATAAAGAAGAGGAAGAATAATAATAATAATAATAATAATAATAATAATAATAATAATAAGAAGAAGAAGAAGAAGAAGAAGAAGAAGAAGAAGAAGAAGAAGAAGAAGAAGAAGAAGAAGAAGAAGAAGAAGAAGAAGAAGAAGAAGATAATGATGATAATGATGTTGTTTGTCTGTTGATACATGTACTTGTTAAAGACGATAATGGATAACAGGAACAGTCAAACGAGTGACGGCTAATGGAAATTTTACTGTTCAATCAAAATCCCCGCAGCCAAGGGGGAGATATTTGATAAATATGATAAAGAGGATATTAAAAAGCTCGCGTCTTGTCCTTACACCCGACCGACCACGATATTAACAGAAAACACTAAAAGCACCGGAAAGTCAATAAAGTTCTCCGGCAGTACAATAAGCGACCTCATCCTGATACCAACCAGACTTTAGTTCTACCAAAAACACACTGGCACCTTCATAAAAGGGGCGGGAGTTCAATAACGCCTCTAGCATGGTAGCAATATACGGAATAGATATTCTTAATAACTCCATTTCAAGCACATGATTTGTCTCACGCCAGCCCTTAGAGACGGGCTCGTATGATCGCCAGTATAACTTGATCACTATTTCGATGTCCTTATCATTTTGGGCAGTTTTTATTGACTTCGTATATTGACTCTATTTTTGGTTGTTATCCATTATATCAACCGATCGGCCTCTTTCTTTCTGTCATTTTGTTTATACCATTTTGGACAGGGTTTATTGACTCTATTTCGGTTATTTAGATTATACTGAAACAGTGGTTCTCAACTTGCTGGTCGCGGACCCCTTTGTTTCGGGGGTCGCCTAAGACCATCAAAAAACACATATGTTCAATTTTGTCGGTGTAGGAAATACGGAGACGTGTCCCTGCAGCGTGGCACCCGAAAATGCTGAGCATGTGCTCCAACACTGTCAACTGTATGCTGACAACAGAGACGCAATCTGGCCTGTTCCAACAACAACGAAGACAAAACTGTATGGTACACGAGAAGACATGGACTGCACAATAGCTTTCATAAAGGCTACCGGCCTCTTGATATAAGTTTTTTAGACAGAAGGATCGAAGAAGAAAA